TTTTTTTTTTTTTTTTTTTTTTTTTTTTTTTTTTTTTTGCAAGAACTCCACCATCGATCCAGTGCATTTAACAAGATCTCCTTTAACAACGATTCTCAAATGAAGAAAAGAACGAAAATAAGTCAGGGTGGCACTCTAAACAGAAACTCTTATCAACTGTTGTAACAGCCCAAGTCCACCGCTAGCATATATTATTTGCTTTGGCCTATTACGCATCACTGTCAGCCTCACGATTTTAAAATGCGTCTACTAGGGAGAGGTTTCCACACCCTTATAAAGAATGTTTCATTACCCTATCCAACCGACGTGGGATCTCACAATCTGCTCCCCTTAGGGACCCAACATCCTCACTGGCACACTGCCCGATGTCTAGCTCTCATACCATTTGTAACAACCCAAGCCAACTGCTAGTAGATATTGTCCACTTTAGTCATCACGTATCGTCATTAGCCTCAAGATTTTAAAACATGTCTACTAGGGAGAAGCTTTCACACTCGTATAAGAAATGTTTCGTTTCCCTTTCCAACCGAGGTAGGATGTAACAACATACATTTCGATGGTATAACTTAAATGCTCCTCATGGGTTCCAAAAGGACTCTTTTTTGGGCTCGAGACAGAGGGTGGTTCTCGATGGTTGAGAAAGTTAAAGAGACAATTTTTGATATAGATCAGTGGCTATGAGGGCCATGACATGTACTTACCTCCGCAGCCACCTTCACAAGATCCAAGTGACACAACCATATTTGCAGCAAGCTTCCAAGGACCCTTTTCCTCCTCCAGTCAGTCACCCTACCAGAAAAGAGAGAGCTTAGCTGAATTGGAAATTCATGGATTCTATTATTACATTAAGTCAGCCTACCGAAGCATTTCTTATAAGGGTGTAAAAACCTCTCCCTAATAGACGCGTTTGAAAATGAGAAGCTCAGAAAGAAAAGCCTAAAGAACACAATATCTGCTAGCAGTGGACTTTGACAATTACAAATGGTATCAGAACCAAACACTGAGTAGTGTGCCAACGAGAACGGTGGACCCCCAAGGGAGATGGATTGTGAGATCCCATATCGATTGGAGAGGAGAGCGAAACAATTCTTATAATGGTGTGAAAACCTCTCCCTAACAGACACGTTTTGAAACCTTGAAGGAAAGCCTAACGAAGACAATATCTACTACTTGCTACGCAGAGAGATTTTTTCTTTTATGTTCATTTCCATGATTCATGAAGTTCTAAAATCATCCACAAACAGATTAAATGAAGAACATAGTAGTTTTACAATGTTTGGCCCAGATTTCCTGTATCATACCATCAGTTTCTCACGAACAAGATGAACTAGCCTAATACTGAGAAAGCAAAAATCTACAAATAAGCACAAATGTTTCAATCATAAACAATAAATCTATGCCCTTCATACCTTTCAGGCTGGTAAGGGTGTCGTCGTCCAAGCTTCACGACGTCCCGGATGGCCATGTCAGGGAGCGAACTCCAGATGGACCAGGCCGAATACAAATCTCTCATGTAAGCAGGAATCTGTCAGACAGGAAAGCCAAAGCTTAGCTATAAATAAAAAGGATTGGAGTTAGAATTTCCTAGATAGATGCCAACAAGAGTTACAAACTCCATTGATACTTATCTCCTCTTTCTTCTCTAGTTCTTTTCCTAGCTAACAAGATTGGAAGCTGGAAATGTTCCAAAATTGATCAAAACTTTATAAATGAAAAGAATTGGAAGTTAGTTCCACCAACAATCATTTTACAATCAACAAGTACTACAGACTATGTCCCCCCCCGGCCCCCTCCAGGAACCTGAAAGGAAATGAAAAGAAGAAGACAAGTAAATAAAAAGATTTGAATAGTAATCTAAGGATGTATTGCCTCATAAAGGTTTGAATTCTAAGGATGTATTGCATTATAGTACTCGTACAAATCATGACGTGATCTATCTCTATACTTTTCGAGCACGTGTTCTCTGCTTTGTAGCATGCTGCACAACTTTTTCTTCCACAGGAAGACCCTTACGCCGTCTTACAGTATCAATGAGCTTTCTGGCTGTGTTGGGAAGCACGCTAGAACCATCTCCGAACTCTTCAATTTCTTCTTCCGTCTTCGGGACGAAGAACGGATCTTCACATAGTTCTTCCCAGTGGCTAAGCACTAGAAGAGCACTTGCAGCTCCAGAAGTCCACCTCCTTAACTCATCTGCAAAACCAAAGCTCTCTGAAACTGGCACATATGCGTGCACAGTAAACAAAGGTGAACCTTCCTGCATTTCTTCTTTCAAAACCCGGGCTCGCCTTCGAGCAAGTACAGCATACATTGGACCCAAATACTCGGTGGGAGTGTTCAATTCACAGAAGTACATGGCTTCGACAAGCCGAGGTTTCTTTTGAAGTACAGCTGCTCTACAGGCATCCTTTACAGCTGCCATAACTTGCCCAGAAAAGATAGCGTTATTCTCTGATTGAAAGGGAGGTTCGGACTCATCTGAATTCCCAGGCAATGAAGAAATAGAAGCCTCGACAATAAACGCCAACCCCCACAGAGGTTCATCACATAAGGGCCCAGCTGATGTAGCAAGCTGAAACCCAGATAGAACACTGTTCTCAAGAGATGCTGCTTCCATGCTTAATGTCTGAGCTCCTTCTGATGATGCTACAGAAGCAACATCACTTACCGACGATGTTTCAGCATCCAAATCATCATTTGAAGAACCGTCCACAAAACCCAGTCTCTGTGATGCATGAGATGAACCCCGAATAAGAACAGAGCAATCAGAATCATTTACTTTAGGATCTGGGTTAATCAGAATGTTAGGACCAATCTGCTGTGGTCCAAGTGCCCAAATTCGCCGAAGAAGCTTTGACCACTGTGCATTATGTTTGTCATCCTTCGACGATACATCGCTACACACTGCATCCGATATGAGTTTCTTTAATGTTTCTGCTGGATTCTCATTTTCCCTCAAAGTCGATCTCTTTGTTTCCAAGTTTTTATAGCTTTGCCCCAGCTTGACGCCAATAATATCGCCCAGAACACCAGAATTTTCATCAAGTACTTTAGCTAGAGCAAGTGGAAGTTTTAGTACCTGCACTCTGACAACACATCTACCATTTGGGGTTTTCTTAACGACACACTCCGTGCTTTCAGATAACACTTTAAAATAATCCGACACACTAGATGCCTCGCCTTCAATTGTTTCTTTATAAGATACAAGAGGTGGAGAGACCTCCAAGCTTACCCTGGCAAACCTCTCCTTCAAATCCTTTATGCATCTCTCAAGATGGACTTCTCCAGCTGCAGCAAGTACATGTTCTCCTCGAGATGAAACAGTTACCTCTACAAAAGGGTCTGCTCGATTTAAAAGCCTTAAACCTTTCAATAAGGCACCTATGTCTCCAGGATCAGATGGCTCGAGTGCAACCCTCAGAGTTGGAGCAACCTGGAATGCCATACTTGAGAAAGGCCAGCAATTTCTTGTGGATGAAAGAGTTGCACTTTTCAGTATGTGATGGCTAAGACCACGAATTGCTAA